ACACACACACACACACACACACACACACACACACACACACACACACACGCACACATGATATAGACCTTTTCTGAATTTATCATATCCCTGAATAATATTCGTGGCTCGAAAGGTAACATCAATCACATAAACTGTTTAACATATATCTACTTTTGCATATTGAATTGCAGTGGTCCCCGCTAAAGAATACTCCGCCTAAGAATCCGGTCCGCCTTAGAACTCATTTTTAAAGAGTTGACGACATGTACTTCCATTTTTTCCCCTCTAATCTACGTGCAAGAACCTGCCTAGAAATAGAAATCGTCCGAAGAACCTAGTTTAGAACTCAGGGCAATAGGCTTCTCTGGGCTACTTTGCCACTCTGGTGTGGACCTCTATATCCATCAGGCACACTTTAAAACGACTGAGTTTTTAAATTGTTTTTTTATTTTGTAAGGTTAGCTATTGCTAAGCGATTTGCGATTTGAAGAACCTCTTACAGTACTTCTCTAACGTGACAAAACGTGTGATTATTTCATAAAAGCTCGCCCTTTCACGGTCATTCCTTTACTTCACTTCATGACATAACTTAGACATGTACACACATACCGGGTTTCAAAAAAAAAAAAAGAAGACACATTTAAAAGGGTCGTAGAAGGAGCTGGCCAAGCCCCTGAAACTGGCGTAAAGTTTTAGATCTATGTTTTGCTCTGTTACGTTAAAACATTTTAAAACTTGATATTTCTTGAACATCAAGTTTGACATCCTCCTAGTTGAATTTTCTTTGTTCGAAGTTCTGCTGAAATTGGCGCATAATACGATCCATTTATTGTCCTTTAAACGGGCCCTCTTTTTTTTTTTTTAGACACCCTGTACATGTTTTTTTTCGCTTTTTTAAAAATCAAGCAAAGCTCTTCAACTTCCCGCGGACGGCAGTATAATTATAGTACATACATAATCTCAGGGTTATAATTTCATTTTTTAATGTACAAGAAAAGACTCAAACAAGAAAGGCAGAGTTGCGACTCTTGAAATCCACCAAGAGCCCAGTCTGCCGAAGAATCTTTGGGGGAGGTTTGTCTCCCAACGACTGGGTTCATTGACAGTTGACGGAGACCACTGTATTTAGTACAGGTATCTTTGTACACAATATGTACAGTGATCTATAATGTTTAACTAATATTGTTCTTCGACACATTGCACATTTCATTACTTAAGGGCATTTGGTAGATCCACCTTTTGACGGTTGAGCCTTTTGTGCAGTTAATAAAAACAGATTTCACTTTGAGTGATTATGTCCATGCGCTATAAACTTTTTTCTCAATCGCATTATTTTACCCAATACTTGACAAGGTGTGATTGTTAACAAAGAATAATATTCCGTCATTTGAGTGACCCTCCCTCACAAACTGGCGGTCACCACTTTCATCTCCTCCCCAGAAAATGCTAGATTGTCAACGGACTTCACTCCTTTACCATTCAGGATTGGGGCGGCAGGTACATGGCCGTTGGTCACAACTAGGGCTGAGATCGATTTGATGTCAGAGGTCGGAGCGCTTGGATTGCTCTCCACATCCCCGTGTCCATCCATACTATGGGGCCGGCGATAGAAACATCGAGCCATCATCGACAGCAGGAACATCTCCAGTACAATCAGCATGTGCTTCCAAACTGTAAGGTGTAACAGACAGACATATATCATATAACATAGACATATGTAGACCAAGTACACTTGTACCATTATATAGACATAAACATCCGAACTGTAAGGTGTAGCAGACAGACAGATAAATCGTATAATATAGACATATGCAGACCAACTACCATTATATTATTATAGACATAAACATCCCAACTGTAAGGTGTAGCAGACAAACAGATATTTATAATCATACATGTGCATCACTTCTGTTTGACGAGAACGATAGACATGTGAACAGACTAATTCTTTGAGATTGTAGAATGTATCCGAAATAGGTTAATAGATTAGTTCGCTAACTCTGCAGTAGACCCAGTAACAAACAGTTGGGATAATAGACGTGTTTGTCAGCATGCTGTCGAAGGAGTGACAGATGAATCTGTATGTTCAGTGGAGGCCAATTAAGCCGAAATCAACAGGTCCGTCAGCATTTCTTCGGTTTAGCTGACTTTATGGTGGAGAGACGGTTGCTCAAATAGTGATGATTGTCGACAACGTAGAGTTAGCAATGCCATGCTTTAGGCAAATTTATCTTTCGGAAAATGTTTTCTCATCTGGGACTACCTTTTAGGTAATTGCAAGGTGAGGCAGGCTGTACGCACTACATGTATAATTCTCTTCGACCTTGTCGGCTTACATAAACCTTTACACGGCAAACACAGGGACTGCGTAAAGCACTTACAACAAGAACAACAACAACAACAATACTAACAAATAAAAGTCTCCCTAATTCACACCTTTAATTTTTATACAGCAGTAAAAAACAGCTATTGAAACATATTATAGTCGTTGTCCCACTCTAACAGTGCACCCGCAAAATTAGGTCAAACATTTCTTTTATATGAAATTATGTTGTCCAAAACTGTTTTTACAATTGATAATACCATAAGAAGCAAAAATAAGCACTTAACATAAAACAAAACAACAACAGCAAATTGAGCATTTCTGGAAAATAACACAGAAATTACC